AAAGGGGCTCCCTAGGCCAGAAGCAGCCCCTGTCACCTCCCGCACATCGTTCCCTGTGTTTCCAGCTCCACCAGGAAGGCCGGCGGCCGCCCTGACCCCACTGCCCAGTCCCACAGGTACGTGATGCTCGCAAGGCAGCCCTGGTGGGAGGAGAACCTCTGATGGACCATCCTGGGGAACATTCAGAGACCAAGGGGGCCAGGACCCCTGGGGGAGATGCACCTTTGCTCCTGCGCAAAGGCTTGCATTTTTTGGCAGGGTGTTCCAAGAGCTGGAAAACCCATCCCCTCCAAACCCTTTGTTTTATTTAACGGACATACATATGGAGCTGGAGGCTGGAAACATCTCTAGAAAGAACCGTGGGTGTTTAATTCCCTGCTGTCCCCCTACCATGGCCCTGTACAATGTTTTTCCCCTCCTAACAGCAGTGCCTCAACAGGGATGGAGCAGGGAGGGAACAGTGACCACAAAGGCCACCACAGTGGGTTTAGGGCAGCTGTAAGGCAGTGAACAGGGTGAAGGTGACAAGAAGTGTCCCAGGTGGCTATCGCCAGTGTCTCCCCATCCTCCTGCCCAGGGTGTGTCGCTGTGGAAGCAAAACTATTTCAGCCCTTTGAGTTTTTGTCACAGACCAAATGCTTTGCTGTAATTGTGTTTTGCGTCATTTTATTGCTATTGTTGTCGTCTTTTCCAGTTGCAGCTGTGCCCCTCTATGGGTACGGAGCGAGGGAAAACGATCGGCAATATGTGGAAAGGAGGGTGGATTTTCATTCTCCACTTTTCAAGCCTGAAACTGGATTCCCATTTGGGAAAACCCTGCGCAACTCTCTCTACGTGAGTCTACCTTGGCTTGGCTTGCTGTTGGACAAGCGGCCATACCCCAAAAACCTAGGGCCTGGGATGCGACCCTTGCAGGAGCAAGTCACTAGGGGTGCTGCTGGGGTCTGTTTGCAGCAGGAGGTGACTTAGTGGCCATTTCGGTGGTGGCTGGTTCTGGCTTTCCTTGGATGTTGCTCAAGAAGGGCTGGGAAATGGGGGGGCTGCAACCCCCGTTTTGGGGGCCCCACCAGCCCTCTTCTCACCTGATGGAGGGATCCCTCTGCTCAGTTCACAGACAACGGACAAATCATTTTCCCATCCTCGGACAACAGCGTCATCACATACCCCAACCCTCCTTCCGGCGGCTTCACCGGCCACGAGGACATTCCCATGATTGCTGTGTTTTGGGATAACGCCGACTTCTCCAGAGGCGTCGGCACCACCTTTTACCAGGTGAGTGAAGCCACCCAGGTGCATGGTTGCATGAAACAGCTTTTGGTGATAAATTCATCACCTGTCCTGTGGATGCCTCTTGAGATGTGAAACTGATGGAGCTCATGAGTGGTGTTTCCCTTTTCTGGGCTAAATCTGAGTGATTTTGGTGCTCTGTGTGTCACCTCTTGAGTAATTTAAATCTTATCCAGATCCTTAGTCGCAGTGCTCCATGCATGACCCCAGTCTAGACCTGTCTTTGCTCTTCTGGAAGCTAATGCAGACCTGGTTGTACCCAACTCGCAGGAGTTCCTCACCCTCAACACGGCCAAGCCGCCATTCATCCACGATGTGGAAGCAAAGATTCGGCGGTACCTGAGGTCCTCCTACTCTGCAACCTGGACCTTGAAGATCACCTGGGAGAAGGCACCTGCCTATGCAGCACAGACGGACACCAGGAGGGTAAGAGGGTGTTGAAGCTCAAGGGCTTGTTGAGTTGTCAAAAAAAACCCCAAAACTGTGGGCAATCATCTCTTCTGTGCCTGAAAATAAGGACAAGTTTATGGAAAAGGTCAGTCTTGAAGACTTTTGCCAAAAAGAACTGAACAGCGTCCATGTTTTGGTGGTTTTCAGGACATCTTTAGTTGAACTCTCCTTTCTCTGTAAAATCTTTCTTTTTAATATGGTGTGAATTTATTATAAAATCTTCAGCAGCACAAAACTGGGTGACTTTGAGGCTTCTCATAGAGCAACATCAAAGCAAAAATGTCTCATTTTCCATGCAAAATGTGAACCAGCCCAGGCTGCATTTGCCTTGCACATCAGGACCTTGGCCCCACCATAACTCAGCGAGCACTGACCTGCACCCCTAATTTTAAACCCAACAACTCTGCTTGCTTTCTTACCTGTCCACAACGTTTCTCCCTAGACGAGCACCTACCAGGCCGTCTTGACTACCGATGGCTTCAGATCCTATGTCTTGATGCTGTACCAGGCGGGAGGCATGCAATGGGATTACACCAGACTCACTGCACCCAACGTGCTCATTGGCTACACCAGGTACAGCTGCCTCAGCACCCTACCCAGCTCCAACTGGTTTCATCCTGCCCCCTGTACCCAATGAAGTGCCCTGCAAGGATGAGGGTGGCCCAGCTGGTGTCTGCACACCCATATACCCTAACACAAACCCATATAACCACATAAACCTCGGTGTTTGCAGCACCCAAAACTAACTATATCCTGTAGAGAGGAGGCAGTGGGCTGGGGAGCTGGTGCCTTTGCCCTCCTGTCCCCAGAGCTGCGATTTGGGTACTGTGGAGTCCCAGCAGCTCAGGATCAGGGCAGGATGGGGCTGGGGCTGGGATAACCCCATCTGGGAAGAGCAACCCCTGATTTTTTCCTCCCCTTTCCTCTGCATGCAGTGGCGATGGCTTTTACCGCAATGATGACCTGACTCAGAGACCTCCAGCTCTGAAATATCGCCCTGACCAGTTCAGGGGCTACAACACAGGTAGTACCGTGGGGCCAGGGAGGTTCATGCAGCCTCTTGGGGAATGGAGATGTTCCTGGGGGATGACATCCAGCTGGGTTAGGCACGGGGTCCCATGGCTGGGGGATCAACATTGCCTTAGCTCTCAGCATCAGCATCACTCACCTCCTGGCTGGAGCTGCAACTGCCCCTCCAGTCACCTTGGCCAGAGGTGACAGCCTGTGGCTTCTCTCCCTGCTCAGACCTCCGTGGGCTGTGGATTTACAAGCTGGAGACCCGTGTGGGTGTCAACTACCGCCTGAAGTGCCTGGCGTGGACAGGGCGGCAGCAGGAGCCGCGGGCCTGGAGCCAGGGCCTGCCCACCTGCCCCTGCTCCCTGCAGCAAGGGCAGCAGGACCCACGCTTCAAGAGCAGCCGAGGAGGTGAGAAGACGTGTCACTTCCTCACTCTCTTTGTCCCCTGTCCTTTCCCTGTAAGGGTGCCTGGGGTACCTCCTGGCTGGGTGGGCAGGGGACTCCAAGGAAAATGAGGGGAGGGGACTGCCCTTCCCTGCTAGGGTCAGAGAAAATGGGAAGGAATGAGGACTGACCTGTCCCTGTCTTGTTAGAGCTGGTCTAAGGGGACAGTGAGGATGGACCCTCCCCAGCATGATGATCTCACCTTGGGGGACTGATTGGATGTTTTCCATCAGTCTCTCCAAACAGCACCATGGGTGATGCAGTGGGTGTGATGGATAAATGAAGCCATCCCTGGCCTTGCTCTGTGCCCTGAGGCAGGGATGTGGCTGGGAAGAGCTGGACCAGGGCAGGGATGCTGGCCTGGGAGAGCTGCCTGGGGGCAGGGATGCTGGCCCGGGAGAGCCGTGCCGAGGCTCACTGCACTCCATTGCAGGCTGGTGGGCTGCCCGTGTCTCCATGCTGCACTCCGCCTCCCCCAACCAGTACGGCGCCGGCATCCGCTGCCTGTATGACAGTCAGAACCAGCTCATCGAGGGACGGCAGGAGCGGTACTGGAGGTCCTCCAGGCAAGCATCCCCATACCGAGGTAAGCATGGCCAGCCCTGGCATTCACCAGCTGTGGCTGGCATTGCTGTAGCTTGTAAATAATTTTAATCTCCATGCCAACCTGTTGCCTAGAGACAGCCCGCCTCCCTCTCCTCTCTCCTTCCGCCCCTTACTCTCCTTGTTTATGTCCCCAGACCAGGAGCTGAAGTTGTACGACTGGTGCTGTAACCAGGCAGGCAGCGCCCATCTCTGCGCCCGCTACAGTGAGAAGAGACCAAAGATTGGCTGTGATGGATACCAGTCACCCCGCGTGGGTGGGTTTGCAGCCCATGTGTGCTCAGCCGATGCTGTCTTGGTGCTTGGGGGGAGGAACATCTCGGCTACCTCCTTTTCAGGCAGCAAGAGCCCCAGGCAGACGAGGGATGGGCTTTGGGGTGACCTGGGCTTTGCAGGGTTGTTGGGGACATCTGCTTTAGCACATAGTGGTCTGAGAGTGACAGCAACGAGAGGGAATTAAGACCACATACAACATGGTCATCAGTATAAGCTGATGTGGAGCTTTTTTGCAATTTCCAGCAGGTTCCGAGGAGGAGGAGGAGGAGGAGGAGGAGGAGACAGAGAGTGACTCAGAGCAGAGAGGTGAGCAGTATTGGGGGCATCCCCTCTGCCGGCCATGTCCTTCTGTCCCCGTGTGGAAACGCCTCTGAGGCTGCCAGCTCAGCTCAGGCCTGTGAGAAGGAGCAGGCTGGGCAATTCTCATTTCTTCTTCTTTGCAGATGGAGAGGACAAGTAACTGAGGGTTGCACATCTGCAGCACAGGGACATGGCTGATCCTCCAAGTACTTTGCTTCTCCCCTGTGTCCCCCTGCTCCCACCAGCACCCATCACCCCTGCCCACCACCCAGGGCAGCTCACCTGATCAGTGCCTGCGGTTGCCTCCACTGGCATAAATTCATTTTTCTAACCCTGACTGCAGTTGCTTTGGTTGCCCTTTCCCAGCTGCAGCTGGTGGGGAGGTGGGCAGGTACCCCCACCATGCCTACCACCATCCCCTGTCCTCCCTGTATCCCACTGTGCCTCCCACGCTGCAGGGTGAGGTTGAACCTCTGGTACCCAAGAAAGGGTTTTTGGACCTCATGTGTGTTGACTGTGGACAAGCCCCCCCCGAATGCTGGAATCACCCTGAGAAGGGATGATGCTCTAGATCAAGCCAGAGTCTGCTTGATGACTCTGCTGTGTGCATGAGGGCAAAATTCAGTCTCATGATCAAAAATGCTGGGGGAAAAAATATTTTTTGTGTGCATAAGAGAGCATCTGCCTTACTTAAAAAAAAAAGTCCTTGTCACATCTAATTTGTTCAATAAAGCCTCTGAGGGGTCTGAGCATCGCTGATGCTGTGGCAGCCACGTCCTTTGCTGAACTGGGGTGGGAGGCAGTGGTGGGGGGGATGACTGGGGACAGCAGCGTTGCAGGATGCTGCTGCCCTTGGAGCTGGTTCTGGGGCTCTGAGCACCCTCCTTGGGTGCAGCATCTTCCCTCAGTAGGGGCAAAGAGCTGAGGGGCATTTGCAGGGACCAAAGAATCACAGAATGTCAGGAGTTGGAAG